GCCTAGAAAGGAAGTGGCACACCCTAGACATAAGGAGGGCTCTGAGGATTTACCTCAGAAGAACCCGGCCGAATAGAAAGTTGGAGGCCCTGTTTGTCTCATTCCAACCGGGGTCTCTGGGCAAGAAGGTGACCTCCACCACCATAGGCAGGTGGTTGAGGACCTGCATTGCTATGGCCTACCAGTCTCAGGGCATACAATCACCGAGTGCCATCACAGCACACTCCACATGAAGTGCGGCCATCACGGCAGCCTGGACAACGCAGGCCTCATTGACAAGATATGTAGAGCAGCCACATGGTTTTCCCCCTCACCCTTCGTGAGGAACTACAAATTTGCCTCGGCAGAGGCTTCGTTTGGTCGCAGGGTATTACATGCAGTTCATAAGGCGGGGGACACACCCCACCAGAGGTAGTTTGGCCATGGGCCCTCAGTATGTTACCCTTCCTAGGGACCTGTTAGCTTTGGTACGTCCCGTCCTGGATACTCCTCCCCTCACTATGGAGAAAGAGCGTTGGTACTTACCTGATACGCCTCTTCTCATAGTTGGGGAGGAGTATCCAGACCTTCCCTGTCATGGTAATGTAACATATGTTATGATGGATGTTGGACTAATATGTTCAAGTTATAACTCAATAAAAAAGCTTGAAACCTTAACAAAGGTCTGGAGTAGATGGCACAACGGGTCGGATAGAGTTCTTCACCGATAACTGAGCGGTGTCTGGTGGACCAGGGGCGTATACCAAGAGCTTATCAGACTCAGTCCACTCAACGAGAGGATAAAGTCAATCCATCCTGGATACTCCTCCCCCACTATGAGAAGAGGCGTATCAAGTAAGTACCAACGCCCTTTCTCAGCCACCTCCTGAAATGCTTGGCAGGACGAGTGACACCCGTGACCTCAGCATAGCTGTGGGGATCTGGCTGCTGTCCTGGAGAACAAAACCACCAATTCACAGGTCGGCTTTCGCACTTCCTTCTAAGAGGGCCAAGATTGTTTTATACGCCAGAGTTTAAATCCCCCGAAGAATCTCGTGCTTTCCATTCAGGTCTTTAACATACTAACAGAGCTGGAAGGGACCTTATAGGTCATCTAGTCCAACCCCCACCTAAGCAGAAGACCCTACACCATTTCTGACAGATGGCAGTCAAATCTCTTCTTGAAAGCCTTCAGTGATGAAGCTCCCACAACTTCCGAAGGCTGGTTGGTTGTTCCCACTGTCAGAAAGTTCCTCCTTATTTCCAGGTTGAATCTCCCCTTGTTCAGTTTCCATCCATTGTTCCTTGTCTGGCCTTTGGGTGCTTTGGAGAATATCTTGACCCCCTCCTCTCTATGGCAGCCTCTCAAATAGTGGAACACTGCTCTCCTATCTCCCCTGGTCCTTCTCTTCACTAGACCAGCCATGCCCAATTCCTGCAACCGTTCATCGTATGTTTGAACCTCCAGTCCCTAATCATCCTAGTTGCTCTTCTCTGCACTCTTTCTAGAGTCCCCACATCTTTTTTATAGCGTGGTGACCAAAACTGGATGCAGGATTCTAGGGATGGTCTTACTAGGGCTTCATAGAGTGGTATTAGTACCTCCCTTGATTTTGGTTGTATCCCTGTGTTAATACAATTTAGGATTGCATTGGCTTTTTGGGTTAGCAATAGCAATAGCAGTAGACTTATATACCGCTTCATAGGCCTTTCAGGCCTCTCTAAGCGGTTTACAGAGAGTCAGCATATTGCCCCCNGGTGAATACCACCTCTGACTGGCGAAATCCCCATCTATTCTCTGTCTCCCGAGTCCCAGCTGATCGGGAGGGAATGGGGAGTTTGCATCCTTTCCCTGCCACGCCTGCCAAGCCACGCCCACAGAACTGGTAGTAAAAAATATGAATCCCACCACTTTATGGATCCATTGATCCATGCCAGGTTTGACATCATTTGCTGCCACAGTTGTTAAGCAAATATTGTAATTAAGTGAATCACACAGTCGTTAAGCAAATCCGACTCCCTCCTTAACTTGCTGTTGGGGACAACGTTTTAGGCCCTTCATTTATAAGTGTATAGGTTTGGTATTTTGGAATTTTGCAGTCACAACCCCCCCCCCCCGGCTGAAATCAAAGGCGTTGCCCTCCCTGCTCATCTCCATTTCAAAGCCGAAGAGCCAGCACTGTCCGAAGACGTCTCCGTGGTCATGGGGCCAGCATGACTAAATGCCGAAGGCGCACAGAACACTCTTACCTTCCCACCAAAGGTGGTCCCTATTTTTCCACTTGCATTTTTTACATGCTTTTGAACATTCTATCAGACTTCCTTCCTTCAGATCTTTCCTCTCTTTTTCTCTTAGGTTTATGGACTGACAACATTTCCCTCCCCGCCCCCCCTCCCCAATCTCATTTCTTAAATTCTTAGTATTTACTCCTAGGGTATATCCCCAAGATCTCTTCCATGAGGTATGGTCATCAGCAGGGGGAATTCATAGATCCGACTTCCATTGTACCACTTCTTGTAGCCATTGCTTAATAAGCCTGTTTGGTGTGCAGGTACTCCTTGACTTATAACAATCAATTTAGTGACCGTTCAAAGTTGCAACTGCAGTGAAACAAGTGACTTATGGCCATTTTTCACACATGCAGCCATTCCAGCATCCCCATGGACTTCTGATCAAAATTCAGACTCTTGGCAAGTGATTCATATTTACAACGGTTGCAGTTTCCCTGTTCTGAGTTAGGCTTCCCCAGCAGCACGAAGCCGAGTCCTCATCCCGATAAACCCCTTTTATTTCATTGACCGTTAATTCCTCTCCAGTAAAGTCTTTCCTCTCCCACAGTCTTTCCAGATAGTTCATGATGACCGACCTTTCTCAGGCTTGGAGAGCAGCCAGGCCGATATCTTTCAGATGCCACAATACTTGGCAAGAATGCAGGAATGAAGTAATTGTTTCTTTCAAAAGCCCACTCCCCTTTCACTCCACTTTTATTTCTTCTGGAAGGGGCCATTCACCATCCACGTTGACCCCTGTTCTTTAGCTCTTCCCTTCGTTTGGCCCCTCTGCGCATGGTCACACTGGGAACAGGCTCCAGCTGTGCTTCTGCCCCACTGATCTCCCACTCCAAAGGCAGCTGATAACTGTCAGATGGCCCTGGCCCCCTCTGCCTCTGATGCAGAGCCCTCATCAGAGCCTTCTCCAGACTCCAGGTCTGGCCCAGGTTCCTCCCCAACCTCCTCACTGTACGAATCTTCTGCCAGCTCTGATGGCCTCTGGTGGGCTACAACAGTCCCACCATGACATGTCAACAATGGCATGATCTCCTTTTGCGACCTTCTGACAAGTGAAGCCAGATTTGCTTAACAACCGTGTCAGTAACTTAAGAAAAGCATAGGTTCATTTAACAACTGCAAGAAGAAGGGTCATAAGATGGGGGCAAAGCTCACTTAACAACTGTCTCGCTTAGCAACAGAAATGTTGGGCTCAGTTGTGGTGATAAGTCAAGGACGTGTAGTGGGAAAGGTGCTGGGTAAAAACTGGGAGATGGGGAGTTCTAGTCCTCCTTTATGCATGAAATCCAGCTGGGTGACTTTGGGCCAATTACTGCCTCTTAGCCCAACCCACTTCAAAGGGTTGTTGTGACAGAAAATGGGAGGCGGGATCATTATGTCTGTCATTACTTCTGTTTTTGAGGGCCATAAAATAAAGGCAGGATCTAAATTTAATTACCAAATTCTAGGATGTGGACAGTTGCAAGATCTTGACACACCCTCAAGGCTGTCAGCTTCCATATTTCAAAAGAAATTATTTGAAGGCTCAATTTTTTCCCCTCCATCGCCAAATATATTCATTTTTCCCCCCATTTCATTTGCATTCATTTGAACGTCTTTATCAGTTAATGTTTTAAATTAGCAAAATTGGTGTTGCCCTGTGTTCTGTGCAGGACAGAATAGGGCCATGTTGCCGAACTATGACATGTGTGCCGGAGATGGCACATAAGAGCCCTCTCTGTGGACATGCTCACCGTTGCCAGCTGGTCTTCGCGGGTACCGGAAAACGGCCTGAAGACAGCCCGAAAAACAGCCAAAAAACAGGCTGTTTTTCAAGCAAAGTGCGCACACAGCGAACTGGTACCAACCAGTACACTAAACGGCGGTCTCACTTAGCAACAGAAATTTCAGGTTCTCTTGTGCTCATAAGTTGATGAGTAAACTGTACTTTGCACAAGGTGTATCACGTGAAGATCCCGTGAAAATACCACTTTATAAGGCCTTAGTGAGGCCATACTTAGAATACGGCATTCAGTTTTGGTCGCTACGATGTAGAAAAGATGCGGAGACTCTAGAAAGAGTGCAGAGAAGAGCAACAAAGATGATTAGGGGACTAGAGGATAAAACATAGGAAGAACGGTTGCAGGAACTGGGTATATCTGGTTTAATGAAAAGAAGGACCAGGGGAGACATGATAGCAGTCTTCCAATATCTCAGGGGTTGCCACAAAGAAGAGGGAGTCAAGCTATTCTCCACGGCACCTGAGGNTATGCACGGCCATTTTGGTGAAGGGGGCGGGGTTTCAGGAGGCAAAAAATGCTGTATTCAGTGTATAAGACACACCCAGATTTTCAGCCTCTTTTGTGAGGGAAAAAGGTGCGCCTTATACTCCAAAAAATAAGGTAGTTAGTAAATGAGATTGTGATGATCAGTTCTGGGCTGCAGAATTCTAATGTGCAATCAGATGGCAGTGTTTTCTATTTCACTGCCCCCTAGTGCAGTGTTGGTGAAACTTTTTCGGCACCGAGTGCCAACCAGGAGCGTATGCGCGGCGGGGACCCCCTGAAGAGCAGCTCTCTGGCACGCTCCCCAGCCTCCAGAGGTTGTGAACTCTCCAACACCGGAAGGTTTTTAAGAAGGGGTTGGATAACTATTTGCCTGAAATAGTGTAAGGTTTCCTGCCTAAGCAGGGGGTTGAACTAGAAGACCTCCGAGGTCCCTTTCCAACTTTGCTATTCTATTTCTCTTTCCAGGGAAATCCCACATGGCTATTGTGCAGAAGGTGAACAACGAAGGGGAAGGGGACCCATTCTACGAAGTCATGGGATTGGTGACCCTAGAGGACGTAATAGAAGAGATCATCAAGTCAGAGATCATGGATGAATCAGACGACTACAGTAAGTGGGTTCCAACACAGGTATGGCCTGTTTAAGGTGTCTTCTCTTCTGCTTCTTCTTTTTTGAAATATATTTTTATTGTTTTTACATTTAAAACAGTTCCGCACCGCAAAGTCGGTGACCATACAATCACATTATATACAGATAATCTCATCCATTAACTATTAGCCTAGTTAATACATTATCTATCCTTCTATCCAATCACATTATTTACAGTTTGTCCCAGTCTTGTCACCTTGTCTGATATCAATAATAAAATCAGTTCCAAACTTCATAATATTCTGATTCCCCTTTATTTTTTAGTTCAGGAACTGCTTCCGCACAGGCCAAAATTTTCCTGAATATATCTAACTCTGATGGTGTATTTTCTTTTTTTCAATACTGCGCATAAGTTATACGTGCCGCAGTTAGTGCATGTATAATTAGATAAAGTACATTTTTCTTATACTCCCCCTGTATTATGCCTAGGAGAAACATTTCTGGTTTGAACAAAATTTAATCTCCCACCATTTGTTCCAACCATGATTCTATCCTTTTCCAGTATCTTTTTGCCTCATTACATGTCCATCACATATGATAAAAAGTGCCTGGTGTTTTTTTGCACTTCCAACAATTTGGGGCCAAATTTTTAAACATTTTTATATGCAGTGGCCATTGTTAGTTTCCGATTAAGTATCCAAAGTTTTTCCCATTTAGCCAATTCCATATTATAACCAACATTTTTCACCCAGGCAACCATAGTTTCTCTTCTGCTTCTGACTCTCCTTGTTTTTCTTAGGCCGGCTAAGTTTGCTGTGCTAGAATGACAGGTGTCTGCCTTCTAGCGCTTTCTGAAGCCCATCGCCCCAGAGAGAGCAGAAAAGCAATGGCAGGTTCTAGAACGAGGGACCAAAGCAACTTCTGAACATACCGTCATCTCATAAAGCTCAGCAACTTTAAGATGTGTGCGCATAAACTCCAGCCGTGCCGGAGTTGGGGGATTTGGGGAGTTTATTTATTTATTTAGGAAATTTATATTGCTGCCTATTTGTACATGGTGACTCAAAGGGCCTTACAAATATAGAAAAACCTCATATAAAAAAACAATAAAACTAATAAAAGAATTGTGTTATAAATTAATAAAATAATATAATAAAATAAATCCCCCGCCCCAGTAATACCCTGTTTTCCCGAAAATAAGACCTCCCTGGATAATAGGCCCAATCAGGGCTTTTGAGTGCATGCACTAAAATAAGCCCTCCTCTGAAAATATTGTAACACAGCAGCAGCCATGAGGTGACCACGCTCACTGCCTCCAGCATCCCAAAAATAATAAGACCTCCTCGAAAATAAGGCCAAGCGCTTATTTTGGGGATCAAATTTCGGGGGAAACACGGTAGCAGATCACGCAAGCCATTTAATGGGCTCCATCCCATGCTGGGGGGTGAACACCAGCCGTCACCCCAGCCCAGCTCCACCGCACATGTGCGTGCGCCTCCCGCCGGCCAGCTGGTTTTCAGGTCTCTGCTGCACATGCGTGGGGGTGGGATGCATGCGGGGGACATGTGCGGGCATGCGCCGGGTGGACCGCATGCGCAGGGGGCACTCACACAATGCCCCGGGCCCCGTTTTGGCTTCTAGGTTGGGCCTGGGAAGCTTCCTGCACCAACCTGGAAGCTAAAAATGGGCAAGGGGGGGTTGGGGCGCATGCACAGGAGAGCACGGGGGGATGGGTCGTGACCAGCAAGAGACGTTGAGAGTTGAAAGTCCACACATTTTAAAATCGATGTGGTTTGAGGTACATTTGCGTTATTTCCAGAGTTTAGCAACCAGTCTTCACAGAGGCCTCCATTTCCAGTTTACCCTCCTCAATTTCCATCATGTTTCTTACTTATTCGCTTCCAGTTGTCTCTTGAAAAAAACCTCTTTGGGATAGTTTGGGTCTGTGAGAAAACCACCAAGCCCAGAGAGCACCAAGGAGACCTCATTTCAACCCTGAGCTACAAATATTCTCCTTGGTTGTTTCTTGACTCAAAGTTGTGTAGATTAATGAAAGAGAAAAAAAGTATTTCCCCCCTTATCTGATGTCTATAAAACAAACTCGCATAGTTCACTTTTCAAAACATTTTTTAATATGTAGAATATAGAATAGTAGAGTTGGAAGGGACCTTGGAGGTCTTCTAATCCAACCCCCTCCCTAGGCAGGAAACCCTACACCGCTTCAGACAAATGGTTATCTAATTTACCTTAAAAACTTCCAGTGTTGGAGTATTCTCCAGTGCACTGCTTGGAGAGTCCAAGTGTGGGTTAACACAGTCTATCTGCCCTAGGACTGAGTGAGTTTTTTCTCTCTTGGCCACGCTTCCCTTTGCCTCCATTATCTCAGTTTTAAAACTCAATCCACCCATTTGGACTGTTTTGGGGAGCGCTCCAGTCCTAGAGCAGATATCTGGACTCCCCAAGTTCAATTTCTCTCCAAAAAAATTTCATTTTCACTATTCTACGAGATCTTCATACCTTCTACTTAATTGCATTCGCTGAGAGGGCATTGGTCCGTTTCTCCACCCGATGGTCGCATGCGGGGCGGGAAGCTGTGAGTAGCTTGTTCGGTGGTGGCCGGCGAGCAAGGGGACGGGCAGGAGGCTTCCCAAACCGCGTGGGTCCCCAACCACTGCGTTGAGAGCCACGCAGGTGGCTGGGTGCCCCGGCGGCTGCAGCAGTGCTCCGTAGGACCGGCAGGGACAGCGGTGGCCATTTTGGTAGTTTGCGCGCTTTTCTGCCCAGAGCTACGTGCGCAGTGGCCGCCATTTTTTCCTGAGCCTCGTGCAGAGCAGGTTGTTTAGAGAGTGCCGTCGGATCGCAAAGTGAGATCGCCTGAGCCCCTCAGCTGCGGATCGCCGCCAGGAAAATCAGGCCTTGTCCACGGCACCGGCCAGTCCTGTCTTTCAATTCCTGTGCCCGGATCTCCCGGGGGCAGCTGGAAGGGAGGTTTATGACCCTCAGGCAGCCCTCCCCCTACTGAGGATGCGCGGAAGTGCTTCTGCCTGCTGGCTAAGCGTCTGGTGCCTATCTGCTGCGAAACATCTCTTCGGTCCAGGAAGCATGGCAGACGATGGAGCAGAGGCGCAGGAGGTGCAGGCAGGGCCCTCCGTCAAGCGCAGCAGGATTGAGGTTCCCCCCAAGGGCAGTAAGGGAGGGAAAGGCACCACCAGGAAAGCCTCCCCAGGGGCTTCTGGGGCCACTAGCTAGGCCAGGGAGGGCACCCGGAAGCAAGGAACTGTGGAGGCCAAGGCCCCACAGCAGCAGGCATCCCCGGTTCTGGCAGGGCAAAAGCCAGGCTTGCCCATCTCCCGGGGGGGGGGGGGGAACGGGACTCCCAATCCCCTCAGGGCAGCAGATCCCCATCCCCCATGGGGGAGAGGTCCAGGGCTTCCTCCCCAGATGCATCATGGGGGTATCCGGACTCCCCAAGTTTCTCCCTCAGGGAAGAACCTGCGCCCTTCCAGGGCCTACTTCCACCGGAGGAAGGGAGTAGCGCTGGGAGTTGCAGGAGCAAGGCTGCCTGGCCTGGTTCTCGTTCCAGGGAAGACAAGGGACCTGCCCTGTCAGCCGAAATGAGGGAGATCATTTCTATTGCTATTTCCCAGGGCATAGCCGAGGGCATGAAGCACAGGGAGGCGAGTAAACCTGGCTCATCCAAATCTAAGCGGGTCCCAGACCATAGTCCTATTCATGCTCCGGCCTCTCTGGGCACGGTGGCCACGGAAGAGTCAGTTTGGGAGGAGGAAGAGGAGGCTGAAGGCTTTGTGTTATCGGATAATGAGGATCTTCCCCCTGACAAGCCGGCCTTCACTGGCCTGTTCAAGCCGACCTTTTTTAAGTCTATTCTACATAAGGCCAAGGCAGCTACTGAATTGGGCTCTGCTCCCAAGAGTACGACAGTTATTTCCTCTTCTTCCAGGGATCCCAAGGAAGGTCTATTCAAGGAGACGACTCCTACTCAAGAGGTCATTCCTGTCCCGGACCTATTTATGGATGTTGTCCAATGTCAGTGGGCCCAGCTGGGTACGTTGACCAATCCTAGTGGAGGGGACAAATCCTTTTATTCCGTTGAGGGTAAGATGGGAGATGTGTTGAAATTGCCTGAGGTGGATGCCCCGGTGGTTTCCTTGACTTCTACTTCTAACTTGCCAGCCGACCTCCTAGAGGGTCTCAAGGCGGAGGATAAAAGATCTGAAAAGGCGTGTCACAAGACGCACCAGGCGGTCGCCTGGGCTATCAGGGCATCCACCTTGGCTTCTTTCTTCACCAGAGCGTCCCTCCTTTGGCTGAGACAGTTGAGGGCTAAGCCTCCCACCAGGGGATCCCAGTGGAAGCATGACCTCAGCAAAATAATTACAGCAGTTGAGTATTCGGCGGATGCCTCGTTGAATGCCATTAAGTTGGCCTCTAGGGCATTGGCATCCAACGTTACCTCACGCCGGCTGCTGTGGCTTTGCCAGTGGCAACCCGACCTAAACACTAAGTGGAAGCTCACTTCGGCTCCGTTTAAAGAGGGGCAACTCTTTTCAGACGCCCTAGACAAGTTTGTCATCGAAACGAAGGACAAACTGAAGGTCCTCCCGGCCACTTTGAAAAAGAACGAATGTAAGAACTCTGGTTCCTTTCAGAAGCAGTCCTTTCGAAACCAGGATGCTAACCAACCATCCACCTCTTCCACTTACCATAGACCCTATTCCCAAGATGGGGACAGAGGTCAGGACAGGGGTTCCTTCGGATCATGTGGTAGGCAGCAACAGCAGTCCTTTCGAAAGCCATACCGGGGCGGGAACTCTTCCCGTCAGTTCCGCAGGGGCAAATGACCATCACAGGGATCTTCCCATAGGGGGTCGGCTCCATGTGTATGCTGGCATGTGGGAGGAGATCACCACAGATTCCTGGGTCCTCAACATGATCAGGAAGGGTCTAGTGTTAGAGTTCCTGTCCTTTCCCCAGAGGTCATTCATTCGGTGTCCGACACC